GTATACAGATAACACTGATTCCAAAATGCGATGGAAGTTGAGTTTACTGTGTTTAGTGGAGATTATGTTTGCTGTGGAACACTATTATGATATTTATCAAATCTTATATGCTGTATGGGGAGATACTGTATTATGACGATATTAAATGTCAGAATTATACACTGTTATATGTGAGAGGTAAATACACACTGTTAGGGATTAGTTATTGATTATGGATGTTAATGAAACACAACCGCCAATAATATGGATCACAAGAATTAGAATGTATTCATTGTGAATAGTATGATGCCCTCTGCATAGATAGCAGCAGGGGATATGTGGCACATACCGGGAATGGCTATTAGGGCAATACCCTAATTCTTCTTTTTTTTTTTTTATGTGTCACGTTGCACTGGATCCTCCCCCGTCCCTTCCGACACCCCCAGGAAATATGTATTAAGCAGCACTCAGCTACACTGTTAGCATATCAGACTGGTCTTGTATCTGCCCCCCCCTGTAGTCATTCTGTATTAGGTGAACCTGCTGGGTCCCTCCCACAGCTCTTCTTCCTGTACAAGCTTTGTGCAGCACAGTGATGATGACATTATTACACATTTTTACTTTTTTGCTTTGATACTGGAACCTTTTTGCAGAAGTGCAATTAAAGTCATAAGGCAAATCATTTTCTGCAAAATATATTTTATTATTTGATTTAAGACATTAATTGATCAAACTCACATAATGCATATTAATGTATTACAAAATAAGTGATTCCACGTTACAAGTTTTGAAATATACAAAACTTATATACAACTCCTGCATTGATTACAATAGGGCAGACGCATTTGTTTCCAATATTTTTTGAGGTAGTCCATACCTTACAAACAATTCCTTGGCAACTGGTCACTGGAAGAATTTTTGGAGCTGATCACAGTAGAAAAGAATTTGTATTTACACTCTTTTCAAAACAGGAAATTACTTGTTAACAATTTCTGTACAACATGACATGTTTAAAGGCCACAAAGCAACAGATTTCATTCAAGGCCTTTGCAGTGATCTTTATTCTTTTACACAGGCTTAATTCACAAATGCTACATTATAATGATATCAGAGATGCCAAAACATTCTTCCACATAATTGCAGACTGAACAGTTGGTAACAGAATTTATCAGACTTAATACCTTATTTTATTTTGTAATGAGTCTGGATAGTGAACATATTATGACCTTTTTCCTTACAAGAAAATATGGTTCCTACTCTCAACTCTAATCACCCTCTAATGTGGTACAGTAACTGTAGTATTGTTTTATTAGGATACATCAGGACAAGGCTTCCTTAGTGCAGTAAAGTTGGGCAATGGTTCTGCTCAGAACAGGTCCAAGGTTCCTGCAGAAAGATGAAAAATGTTATTGTAATCAATGACCACCAAGCCAAAGCACAAAGGCGGGCTACACTGTACTACATTATACAGAATTTATATGGTTACAGAAGATTTTCACTTTCAACAAGGTGCAAAATAAATGACGTGAAATGTAAATTTATTAAAATGCTTGCCAGGCCAGCAAATATGGAATAGAGGTTTGATAACACCGGGTTGACCTAAAATGGTCTCCATTAATTAAATGAGACAATGGCAGCATATGAAAGGTGGCCTCAAACAACATGCTCACTCCGTGGCATAACCCCCATCAACTGCTCTCCTGATGTTTCTCCATACCATTTAAGAAAACTCTGCCTTGGTGGAAATGGGAGGTATAAATGTGATGAAGAGAAAATGGGGGGAAAAAACTTAAACAGTTAGGTTTATTCCAGTGTTATTGAGACACTAAAGAAGGAAAAACAAGACTGGATGATAAACGGCTACAGGATAATGATCCTAATGTTAGGCATGGAAGGAAAGGAACTGAGGTGATTTACAGTTTAGCAGATCCAATTATGACAAGGTCAGTTATGCTTTTTTTTATATTAACACCAAAAAAGAGAAAGAAAAGTATAAACCAAAAAAGGAAGACAGAGAAAGAAGGAAAAGAAAAATGAGATAAAGAGAGAAAGAAAGCGGCTAGACACAACTGGGTAAATGACATTTAGGAGGGAAAAAATATGATTGGAAACAGATAAAAACAGAAAGCGATTTAAAATCTGACATCCATCCAGTAAGGCAAAAGTTTGTATAAAATTGTCAAGGCAATCATGGTCCTGGGCAGTAAGTTCCACCATTTACATGATGCAGTTCGTAGATTTTATCGTTCAGTCTATTTGGAGTGCAGGCTTAAAAAAGTGCAGTGAAAAAAATAAGTAGGCTGCCATTGCCAATTGCCTTACGAAAATGCTAGCTGCCTAGCCGTCTTTGGCTCAAATATTTTCTGAGTGATTGCCTCAGAACCAGCATGAAGCACATGAAGCACATGAATTCAGAATTCCTGATCTGTTTAGTTGTTCCCGGTCAGCAATTTAAAAAATATCGGAAGCCACCGAATCAGCATACCTGGATCAAAGATTTCAGAAGCAGATGTACCCATTGTTACACATTAGTAAAAAGGGTAAAATGTGACAAAAAATAGCCAGGGCTCTGCAAAGCCATGATTTTAGAATACTCAAAAAAAACAAAAAAACATTCCCAATGTTTCACATATGCTGAGATTTGAAGCTCCTCTGCAGCACCTCCACCTTGTGGCTGCTGTAGGGGATACACACAGAGGTTAACACTTCATGTATGTCTGTGTGCTTGTTAAAACTCTGAGACCTGCTATAGACCCAGCAATCCTATTCATAAGGACGTGTATTGCAGAAGATTACAATCTGGTGAGCATATCTAACAAATATTTACCACTTTTTGTCTGCAGTATACAGTAAATTATAGAACAAAAACAGTGATTACAGAAAGCATGGCACTGCATTTTACATCACATACCTCTGAAGCTTCCCGCATTTTACGCTTGATAGTAGCTTTTCCTTCTCTTCATAAGAACAATTCTCATAAGCAGACAGGAGACTGGGTGACAAACAAAAAAGTAAATTATCGTTGCTGTGCTCTGGTGTTATTATGCCCCAAATAAAGTGGCTAAAACTGTTATTTATATGGCATAAAAAAAAATTTGATGCTTAAATATGTCTACCCGATGCCATTATTTATTTCATTTTGTATATCTCTCCTAAATTGTCTTTCTAAAATATGGACAGCACCTCCAAATCTTATTTCTTTGAATAAAAGTTTTACCAGCGTAAAGTGCTTCAGCTGGATAGATAACATGTTAAAAGGAGACCTATGAGGTGAGTGATTTTCACTCAACCTCATAGTTCGAGCCGACGTGTGACAATGACACCGTCACACATCGGCTCAATAGATCAGGAAGTGAGCGAACGCATACCGTTGCTCGCTCACTTCTCGATCATCTCCCTGCAGAGAGCCGTGACTGTCACTCACGGCTCCCTGCAGGGATTCCCCCCCTCCCCTGTCTGATCCTCCAGCGCTGACTGGCGGAACAGACGAGGGAGGGGGTGGGTACAGCTGGCTCTGCCTCTAGATAGGCAGAGCCAGCTGTCACTCACGCAGCTGGGTGGATCTCGACAGTAATGTCAGGATCTGTCCTGGCAGTGGCGGTCTCAGTATACCGCGAGCTGTATCTCGCGGTATACTGAGCATTGGGTCACGTGAGGACGCTATTTTATGTCCTCCCATGACCCTCAGGAGAACTATGGGGAAAAACACTTACTCCATAGTTCTTCTTTAAGACTGTTACGATATATATATTTTTTAAATTTAAATGGTTTTGTAAAGGGCCTGGTAAAGGTGGAAATGCATTATCTGGCTGGATTATGATAATACTACCCTGGTTTGTAATGCTTTTGTTCAAATAAATACGATTAGGATTTTTATGTTACTTTGGAGGTGCTGATCATCTTTTTGAAAGACTTTAATCACTAAGATGCAAGAGTAAACTCATAGAGCAAGTTTATTATGGGTTAGCTGATTGGATTGTTATAGAGACTATATCTCTTCCAGAGTTGTGGCATATATAGTATATTGTACTCAGATAGGAAAAATAACAAAGCCCACCACGTTGCTGAAAACGAATTTGCGGTCAATCATATGGCATCATAATATTTGATGCTTAAAAATGTGTACCCAGTCCCATTTCTTCTTCTTTATTAATTTTGTATATCTCTTCTACCATTGTAGCTTATATAGTGTACTGTGTAAGACATAAGAAAAAGTTGAAACCCGTCAAATGGTGCAAAAACCTAACTTGCTGTCATATTCTAAGACGTGTCTATGTATAATTCCTGTATGCCAAAAGCAAGTAATAATCAAAAATACAGGTTTTAAACCATGTCTGGACAAATGTTTTAGTGTACATTTTATGTTATTGTTTTGGACAATATACAACATTGGATTATGCCACTGCCTACATTATGCTTACAAAATGGTGTTGTATGCTTTGCAGTTCACAGCATAACTGTATGGAATTACTGTATTGTATGGAAGTACTCACTTTTTCAGCATTTTTCCCCAGCTTGGTTCTTTGTTAGTGATGTAACTTTAAAATCCAGAATCTCCAGGAAAACCAGGTCCCGCTGCGCCTTCCTACCCTCAGTGAAGAAGGTTTAGCTCCCTACCTCGCCTCCCCAATAGCACTAACTTGTATTTCCCTTGCAGAGGAAAGGCAACTAAGGGGGTTATTCACAAAAGGGTGAAGAGTTTGAAGAAGGCCGGAGAAGTGAATAATCTAGGACAACATGGCTGATTTGGAAATATTCTCCAATTCAGCTCACTTTCCAGTTCAGCTATGTTGTCCTAGATTGTTCTCTTCTCCTGCCTTCTCCAAACTCTTCAGCCTTTTGTGAATAATCTTGTAAGCCTCTGTACCTGTTAATCCTACCTAAAGCCTTGTAAAGCACAAACTTGATTTCCTCTTCACTAAGCCCTTTCTCTTTGGCAGAACATGGCAATGATATGTAATTCTAGCACCACACAACTTGAACACTTCATGAACATGTATCTTTTTACTTTCGATGTCTCATTACAAATGCCTGGATCTACCATGAATCATTTCAACATGTTCCCAGTATTTGTACATAAGTACATATTTACCAAGTGTTGTGCTTGAACTGAAGAACTGGCTGTTCACTTTGCAAAGTGTATGTTAGTGAATGAGGTGAAGCGGTGTTAACGTTGAATATCGAATTACATGCTAGAAAAAAAATCATGTTTTTTAACATCTCTCTCACATATGATTCAGAGTGAAAACTGCTTCACCTCATTCACCAACATTTACTTTACTAGATGAACAGCTTCAACTCATTTAGTAAATAAACCACAAAATTTGCTTTGTGTTTTTTTTTTATTTCTCAGGCACTGAAAGTCATTAGAATTGGTGTTTTGTTAATTAGAGAAGTGAATACACACAGAAATAGGTAAAGTCTGTATACTGTATAGGTCATGACAGAAAAAGAGAAGCTGCTATTAAGGTGCATGATCGAAGGTCTTCATCCTTATCCCAACACCTGATATGCACATTCTTCCCTGACTCATTAGGTAGTAAAACATGATTTTTGTCTTGTAAAGTTTGTTTCCTGGAGTATATCACAGGACACAGTTAATTCTCAGACCACTGGGTTATACAGCAACTGTCAGGTGATTGGACACTGGCAAATCAATCAAAGCGACAGGACAGCTCTGTATAACCACTCCTACTCCCAGCCTATCAAGCAGTACAAAGTGAATCACAGAATAAAAAGAGACGGGTCCTGTCCTGATGTTCTACTCTAAGAAATAAGTTTTACAAAACACAGGGAGTTAATTCTTATAACACTGGGATGTTCAAAGGCAGTCCAACAAAGGGGCTGGCAACACAGCAAAACAACAGCTGAAACCAAAATGCAGAAAACCAGAACAGAGCAGAGGAGCCTCCTGAAGGACCTTCAGGCCAAAACTGGCATCAGCAGAGGCCTGAACATCCACCTGGTAGAAATTGACAAAAATGTGTGAGTTCCACATGGAGGCCTTACAAATTTGGGAGACAGAAGCTTGGTGCTGAAAAGCCCAAGATGCATTAACCCTTCTAGTGTGTGCCATAACCTGAAAAGGAGGAACTTTTCTTTTAAGCTCAAAGGTCTGCAAGAAGGTCTGACAAATCCACTTGGTAATGGTGGAGCGGGAAGCCAACTGTCCTATACGGGGACACTTAGGAATAACAAACAGGGAGTCAGACTTGTAGGTAGCAAAAGAGGTAAATTCTGATTGCCCAAACTATATCCAAATGTTGTAGGGAAATTTATTTTAGGTGTTTTGGAGCAGGATGCATTAATGATAAACACAGTGTCCTGGCTAAGGTGGAAGCCATAAAGCACCTTCGGGAGAAAGGAGGCCTTGGGCTTCAGCACAAACATTCTTATGGATGGCCAGAAAAGGCTCCTTGCACGTTAAGTCCACTAGTTCCGATATACATGTCTAGCAGAAGTGATGGCTATTACAAAAGCCACGTCACGAGAAATCAAAGACAGAGATATATATTTATGATAATCGGTTCTAATGAGGGCTTCTGAAGGGTTGAGAGAACCAGATTGAGGTCCCATGGATTCAGTGGAGCACGAACAGAGGGTACAATGTGTGCCACCCCATGCATTGCTGTTCACCAATGAGTGAGAGGCAAGCAGCAAGAGGATTGCCAGGGCAGAAATCTGTCTCTTGATGGTACTCAAGGCTAAATACTTGTCTAGACCAGATTGGAGGAAAGATAGAATGCATCCCATGGATGGAATTTTCTGGTCTCACACCAAGTGAAGAGCAATGAGGCCAGCTGGGAGCGATGAGGATCGCAGAATGCCTTCTGTCTTGAATCTGAAAAGGAGGCGAGGCAAAAGCTTCAGAGCAGATAAATCGTAAAACAGTTTGAACTGATCCCACATGGTCACCAAGGCATCCACAGCGAAGGCTAGAAGATCCCCGGTCCTGGTGACAAACCTATCCAGCTTGTTGAATCTAGACACCAGAAGATCTATGTCCGATGTCCCCATCTGTGACAAAAGGTTTGAAACACCTCCAGATGGAGGAACCGTTCTCCAGGATCCAGACGCTGATGACACAGGTAACCCTTCTGCCAATTTTCTATGCCTGGAATATGTATGACGCACAGGTTTGGAACAAGACGTTCTGCCCAAATCAGAATCAGGCTATCTTTCTCAGAACCACCTGGCTTCTGGTGCATCCTTGATAGTTGATCTAAGCCACAGCCATGGCATCATTGTTGGACTGAATCCTGGTCAGATGACCCTATAATTGGGGGGAAGTCCAGTATTAAAGAGACAACTGAATAATTCTGAGCTTCAGGATATTTATCGGGAGTCGCAATTCCTCCAATGACCAGGACCCGTGGAGTAAGAGGCCTTCCAGGTCTGCACCCCAGCCTAACAGGCTGGTATCCATTGTGATCACCCTCCAAGACATCTGAAGGAAAGCCTTACCTGACTTCAGAGCTACACAATGGCAGGGCAAACTTTGTCTTGCTGGACAAGCAGTTGGGGAGATCTGAAGTTCAAACCTGCTTCCCAATGCAACTAGGGTGTTGAGCTGCAATGGCATGGAGTGAAACTGAGCATAGGGAACTACCTCGAAAGGAGGTTGCCTCAGGTCCAAAACTTTAATGTAAAAGCAAATGGTCAGATGCTTCATGGGCCATAGGGTCTAAACAAGGAAGCGGAGAGACCGCAACTTTTCCTGTGGCAGGAAGACCTGGACAGGATTGTGGGCCAGGACCAGACCTAGGTACTCCAAGGATGGGACATTTCCAGTGCTGATTTCTGGGGGTTCAGGATCCATCTAAAGCACTGTAGGGACTGCATTAACCACTGAATGTTGGACAACAAGGCTGACGCTAACTGTTCCCTTGGCCTTGGGGGTGGTCAACAGGCTGAACTAAAACACCTGAACCACCTCTGCCCTCTGGAAGAGGGACTGTGACCCCTAGAGTGTAGATACAAAAAGATCTGCCCGTCTCTAAGGAGATTTAGGCAGATTTTATGACAATTAACAGGGATGAAGTAGTGAGTGAAACTCCGGCTTGCAGTGGGAAATGGTACTCTGGATCAGGACATTGAGCATGTTCCATTACCAAAGTGCTGAGAAAGCTGAAAGACATTTCCCTACTTGAAGAAGTAAGGCATCCCATCATTGCAAATGGGGGCTAACTTTCTGCCACGGGGGCCTTGCGGCAAAATTGCGTACCCTGCTTGAACTTGAAACCCGATGCCTGAGAAGAACAAAATTAACTTTTCTTGAGGAAGGAAGTGGAAGACTTGGCTAGTGCAGTCTTCTGCTGTTTCTTCTGGGGCAAGAAGGTGCGTTCCTATAGCCCCTCCTCCCTCCTGTAAGGTCTGACAAACTGCCATGGTGGAGACGGTGCACTGCATGAGCAAATGTGGCCTTAAATAGGGCTTCTAACCTCTTGCAAGTGTGGCCCTTAAAAACTGGGACATCTTCTACAGAGACCATAAGGGGTCTTTTTGGACAAGAGATGGCAGAATCCAAAGAAGAGACCACCCATTTTTTTTTTTTTTTAGGAAGCCATCCTCAATAGAATACTGCTGGGCAACACTTTTAGGGAAAGAAAACATTTTCTCAGTGATCCCAATCACAATATAATACAGGCTGTTAATGCGAAAGAACAGGAAACATTTTGGCAGGTTTAAGTATTTTTTAATACCCTAAACCTGTGATCTTTAAAAGGGTAGACACAGGTGGTTCTAACTGCAAATGAGTGAGGACCACATCCAGAAGGACAGAAATGTAAGGAAAATGTCAGGAGGTAGGTTCTCTTCATGAAAGGATGTCTGAGAACTGGAGACAGTTCCTTTCCCTCTTCCTCAGGAAGAGTCAGAGGTAGTCTGAGGGAGCAGGAGTGGGGCCCTCTGGACAGATGTTTCAAACAGATCAGCCATTTTCTATATGAGAGAACCCTAAAGCTAGCAGTGAAGCAGAAAGGGAGCCCAGCATGGTACTAATAAAAACATCATCCCCAGTGGTGGTAGACCCACCACCGAAGTCACAATCTGGCTGTGTGGCCCCTGCATCCCATGCTTCATTAAATATGCACCTATGATCAGGGTGAAAGGGTGCCCTGTGTTCAGACATTTAATGACAGCAGCAGGTGATCCAAGATGGCAGCAGTAGCGGTGCAGCTACCTGTGGGAAGCATAGCAGCAGGTGACGGACACATGCGTAGTACAGTACCGTAGGAGGAGGTGAGCAGGCACAGTTCTTGGCCACTAGGACTGAAAGTGAAGCCTAATGGCATCAATTTGAATTGCTTAAAACTATATCACCCTTAAAAAAGTTATGCTGAATTAACCCTGTAGGCAACTGAGGCTACTGCCTGGGCATCTGGAAGGCATGTTTGCAACTTAATCTGAAGGGCTTTGGGTACTTACCAGGATGTATAGTGGTCCGCTTACAACCCGATCTTTGCCCTCTAGGTGGGCATACCCCCTGAGGGGGGTCTTCAGGGTCAGAGCTTCAAAAGGAGTAAAGCCCTGGACCTAAAAAGCACCCAGCGGCTAACCAAACACGTTGCAAAAAGTGGCAAAGCACATTACAGGCCAGCCCTGTATCTTTCTTCTGGTGGGTCCAAATACATTATGTAAATGCTCTGCCAAGGAGCAAACTGATCCAGAAAGCTGCTAGGGGCTCTGCAGTGGCTTAGAGCAGAATTAGTGAAACTTACTTCTCTCAGTGCAGAGAAAATACAATTACCAAACTGAGGCAAGCTGGGTTAGAAAGGGTAATGCAGGGCTGTCCTGAAGCATTGATTCATTTGCCAGTGTCCAATCACCTGATGGTAGCTGCATAACTCAGTGGTCTAAGGATTAACTCCCTGTGTCCTGTGATGTATAATCAAGAAAGCAGGATCAGAGTGATCAGAAAGACAAGCTTGAAGCACGCGCCTTCAAAAACTAGTCAGCATTCTGATAGGTTTCTTTTACCTTAAAGCTCAACTCCGGACAGATGTAAAAGACACAAATTAACACAGCTCTGTATAAATGATTACATTTACTTCAAATGCAACTAGGTTAAGTACTTGCAGTTGATTAGGTATCAGCCTTTTGCAATCCCTTATATAGCAGCACTCAGACTGGGAGAGAGTACTAGAAGCCAATCAGGTGTGATGCCTACAGGAGTAGAAAATTGAGTGAGCAGAAATATTACCTCATCAGCAAAGATGGGCTCGATGTTCGAGTCGAACTGTTCACCTGCCGAGCTCCCCACAAGGCACTGTGCCTTGTGAGCTTTTATTGGCTAAAGCTTTAAACCTGACCACAGGTCAGGTGCAAGACTTTGCCCAATCAGGGCCCAGTACTCTGTAAGAGCCATGATTGGGCAAAGTCATAACTTTGCCCAATCATGGCTCCCCTGTTACAACTGTAAACAGTTGGGCAGAGCTAGCTCCACCCAATTGTTTATATGTTGCCGGCATCTGTGACAATGCCATTTTGCGGCGGGTGTTTATCGCAAACGGACAGTGGTTCGTTCTTTTTTTTATTATTATTAATCTATTTATATTTTTAAAAATTTGTTTCGTCGAGTCATTCTCATTGTGGACAACACTGGACGTTGTGATTGACGCTGGATTACGTCGGTGGATCCATTCTTTTTTTTAAATAAAAGATTTGTCAAAAACTTGTCTTTTGTTTTTTTTTTCTAATAAAGGATTTTTTCAAAAGTCTGGCCTATTTTTTTTACAATTTTATTTAACCCTTTAGTGAATGGGTAGAGGTACATGTACCTTCACTCATTCACAAGGGGGGAGACCGCATCTGGGTGCCCCTTTATTAAAGGGGTACCCTGATATGAATAAGCACCCTGCCCACACCCCCGCCCTAAGGCTTGTGGGGGGAGAGGCCCTTGTCCCCATCGGCACAGGGACAAGGTGGTTTTCCAGGGGCAACCCTGGAAAAGCACCCTCCCAGTGCCGAGGGCATGTAGCCAGGTATTGCAGGGGGGGACGAGCAGGCACCCCCCCATTCATGCCCTTCAGGCCTGTGCTCAGATCAAGGGTCTTTTTTCCCCCATTTTTGGGGGTGGGGTCCCTCTTGACATTCCTATCAGACCTAAAGGGTCTGGTATTGTTTGGGAGGGGGAACCGCACACTTTTTTTCTTTTTAAATGTCATTTTTGCTGCAGCAGGTTCTATACATTGTACAGATGTGCCACATTACAGGCAGTTTAAGGGGACCCCCATGGTACGATTTTTTTTGTTTTTTTTATTGTTTCACTTTAAGTAATGTTAAAATCACTGCTCCTTTAAAAACTGTATTTTTTTAAAGTGGTTTTTTTCATTAATTCCTGTCCCCTAGGGCAGTACCCGAATCCCCATATACTTTTTATGGCCATTAAATTGCAAATAAGCCTTCAAAATGGGGTCAATTGATTTTCAAAAGTTCTACCCCTATAGACTTGCATTGAGTTTGAGTTCGAGTTCGAATTCAAACTTTTTCCCATGTTCAAATTCGAACCGAACGGGGGTGTTCGGCTCATCACTACTCATCAGCCCTCTGCTATGGCTCCACTAGCTAATCAGCAGACTGGGGGTGGAAAGAAAACACTTCTGTATATCTTCGTTGTAACAGACAAGATGGTGTTATCCTGCTGGCTGTGCTGTGTGATATTCAGGACTGATGAAAGAAATGCAAACAGCTACCTTATTTGTAGTACAGATTTGTGTCTGGAGCTCACCTTTAAGTAAAATTATATCCTTTACCCCAGTAACTGCTGACACAGGTTCTCAGTACCAATACCAGGTAATGAACTGCAAGTTACAAGAAGCCTTACAACTGTGTAAATCATCAACATTTCAGGGGAAAAAAACCTACATATTTCACCTGTGATTCTGTAGAGACCCGTAAAAACATGCTCTAATATTTGTCCATGTGGACCAGTCTGAGAAACACCCTAGTTACTCATGCAACACTGCAAAGTGTACATGTAATTGTACTTTACCTTGCTGGAGTGTTATATCTTTCCAGGATAGCTGCTGCCTTCTCTCCACTCACACCACTAATCTGCATTAGCTGCCGAGCAAACACCTCTTTCACTGTCTGAGCCTGTAGTGGAAACACAGTGTCACACAAGAGATGGACACAATGTGGTCTACAGCAGCAGCTACACAGGAAAATGTTTCATTTCCTGGTGTGGCTGCTTGTAAACCTATATTTCCCCCCATTAATCAGAATCACCAAAATTAATATGCATAATTTACATACTTTCAATTCAACCAGTTGTCGTCCGCCCGTTGATAAAAATGGACGGACGGCACAGCTGCATTGGCGGCTTGCCGTCTCTAGACGGTATTTTTTTTCTGCTTGAGTGTGCCCCCTAGCGCGCGCGCACGGGCAGAAAAAACCTGTGCAATGCATAGAGCCGTTACCGGCTGTTTAACATATACAAGATGGGCAGCTCTATAGCCTGCCGATCGTGTATATCTGCTGGCTGCGTGACACCCCCTCGACTGCCGCCCCCCCTCCTCATCTTCAATCCCGGGATCCGCTGCCCCATCTGCGGCCCGGGACCGGCTCTGGAGGGCGTCAGGAGGAAGAGGGAGGGAGATCAGCTCCTTGCTGACCTCCCTCAGTGCTGTGAATGCAGAAGTGATGTGTATTACATCACTTCCGCATTCACCTGTCAGTCATCTGACTGCTATAGCCAGAGAGAAGAAGCTGATGAAGCAGATCTCTGCTTCATCAGCTTCTTTTGGGGTCCCCAGGTGACACTAGGGGTCCTAGAGAACTCTAATATCTCCATAAAGAGGACCTGTCAGTGTACCTGTGCTATTATATAGGGGGATTCTTATCCCCCTATGTAATAGCAATAACAATAAGTGTAAAAAAAAATGTATATATAAATAAAAAAAAAAATAACAAAATGCTTAAGTCCCCCACGTTTACGCACATATAAACGTAAATATGCTTCTGGTGCGCCAGCGTGCGGAAGCGACAATTGCGCTACACACATTACATATCGCCACGAACGTTGCAGTGAGAGCAATAATTTTAGGGCCATCAATCACTGATAACACTAAACTGATGAGCGGTCAAAGCTTTTAAAGCGTCGCCTATAGCCAATTTTGGGTATTATCGTTTTTTGAGGTTTCGCGCGCGCACGCAATTTTAAGGCTTGACACGTTTGGTGTCTTTTTACCCGACGTGACCCCGTCTTTTATATTTTACCAAAAAATTGGGTAATAATAAATGTTTTATCATTTAATATCGGGGAAACTGTTTGTTTTTTTAAATTTCGGTAATTTTTCCTTAATATAGTAAAAAATAAAAAACGGCAGTGGTGATTAAATACCACCAAAAGAAAGCTCAATCTGTCCCTAAAAAATTGTATAAAATTAATTTCAGTACAGTGTTGCATGACGGAATAAATGTCAGTCAAAGTACCGCAGCGCTGAATACTGAAAATGGCCTGGATGGGAAGGGGGTTTAACACCGCGGACTTCAACTGGTTAATGTATGTTATATTTATATGAGTACCCGACCATGAACAGAGCATTTTTGTGCCACTACCACTCCCAGTAAGCGTCCATGCTAATTGATAACATTATAGTTAATATAGATGTATGATAAATACAGATGGGGATTGCATCTGTCTTTGTGGAGATTACATGCTAATAAAGCCTTATTTACCTGAAAAGTTTATAACATGTACATGATCTCCTATAAATAGAGGCTGATGGGATTTTAATTGAACCCAGTGTGGTGTGCACATATTTACAGTTACCAGAAGCTGGCATTATGCCAAAAGTGCCATTTTCGACCGATATGTTTCGGCGCCGATATATAGTGTGGCAGCAAATTACCATTACCTTATTCTTCATGGCCCCCTCATTAAACTCTTTAAACTCCATCAGAATGCAGCTCTGAGCATCATGTCGCAACACACGATCACATTTACTTGCTTCTTCTTTAGTGCAGCTCAGCAGGGTTTTGTTCTGTAAATATCAACAATTAAAACTA